AAACCTGCAGTTCTGCATCTAAAGGCATTTCAGTTCAGCCACGACGGGCATCTCAAAGCTTCAGCAGCAATCCTCTACATCTGATAAAGAAGATCCGTTGTGGCGATGGGTCGATCAGGGGTTAAGTGGTTTGCCACAGGGCACGTCATCCAGATTTTTCCCAACCAGTCGCAGTTTGTGAACTAGTGACCTTCCCTCTGACAACCTGCCTTGCAGTCCGCAGGCTGAAGCTGCCCTTGATATTACCGATACAACGCCTCAGATGCTTCCACTGTGAGCTGAATGTGTCAGGAGCAGCAGGAAAGGAGCACAGAGCTGTGATTGAGTTATGACTGACAAAAAAATATAAATAAATAAATACAGCAGGGGAGATGAGGGTATTTGGTCTAGACTGGGTCTGCGTCTGTACAGCTTTCAGTTGAGCAGCACAGAACGGGGAGCTGTGATGTAATCAGCTGATAATGAACATAAACCCTAAAGGGACAGGAAACAGCGCAGTCCTGAGGAAGATAATGAGGGACAACTGGACAAGAGGCAGATTTTCACATAATAAGATGTTGATTTTCTTAGTCTGCAGCTGCTCTGTTTGTAAAAAAAAAATAAAACATCTGCAAACTTTTTACTTTACTTGCCTAAAATAAAAAAAATCACCCACAATAAAATAGTATGCGAGTAAATTGGTGCTTAAGTCAAAGGCGATGGTGTCATGTGACCACATGATGTCACCCACCTATCTGGATGCTGACACCTGTCCACCATTAGCTTGCCTCAGCAGGGATTTCAGCAGCGTTTGTCATCAGAGGTGAAGAGGACATTCTGCAGCCTCCGTATGACATTGGGGTTGTCGCTGAAGGTGTGAAAGTTCTTAATGAGTTGCCATCCAAGCATGTGTGTGTGCTACGCTATCTGGCTTCAATCTCCAATTTAAGCAGAAACGATTCATGGAGATAAACCCAAAGAAAATAGAGCTCTTAGTCCGAGTCGTTCATTTGATCAGTCAGAAAAATTGGAACATTTTCTGTTTCATTTTAGTGGCAAATATAAAAAATATGTAAGGGAAATCAAAATCACAGGATTTGATCTAATTAGATTTAACTGTCGGACTGTTTGAACAGTTTGTTGGTCATTAATCTTGCTAAGGTGAAGAAAGATTTGTGCAGCAATGAAGTCTTCATTGTTTAATTTTTTGGGGGGCAAACAAAAAGGAGTATTTGCTCTAAAAATGCACCATAAAGAAATCAGATCCTTCAAAGGAGAATTTTTATCTATCTTTATTATATGTAGCAAAAAAATGTAATATTAAATTTTTATCAGATGATGTGAATTTTTTCTCTGAATTGTTTATTCATCCCCAGAATAGAGCTAATGAATGGGGATCATTTTGAATCCTTCAAATTTTGATTTTTTTTTGGATTTAACTATCAAGAAACCAAGAACACTATTTTCTCTGTTCTGCTTTTTAGATGAAA